TGTAGTAACAATAACAATACACAAAGAGAACAAATATCTAAAAAATTAAAAATATTTACTTACTGGCACATCAGTATAGAATAAGATAATTTGTAATAAGGAAGATAAATTAGTCTTCAATCAAGATGAATATAGTCAAATTAACACAATCATTTTCTCATATATAAGCAAGAATATCGATATTGTTGGATATATGAAAAAATAATTGTATTAATTTCACTATATTCGTCTTGATTGAAGATTAATTTATCTTTGTTCAACGCTATATAATCTCATTTTAACATTAATCTTATTTTTAAAATGTCAACAATAAAGATATTCTCTAAACAAGAATATTCTTTTATTCTTTTATTCTATGTACTAATAATAATGTATCTACATCAATGTATTTACATCAATCTAGATACTGTTATTTTAATAGAATAAATAATATATTTAATGAAAAGTTACAGCTTTAAGAAAATATATATTTTCTCATTAAAAAAAAATATTTCCTCAGTAAAAATATGTATATGAATGTAAAAGTACATATGTTATTAGTACGAATAAATATATTCTTTACTTTTTAGATATTTCTTCTCCCAGTATTAAAAAATTGCACTTGGTGGATTGTAAATTTAGCAAATGGCATATGATATTTTGTGAGGAATGACCTGCAAGCTGAAGATTTTGTGGACACGCGCATGGTGATCGGGAAAATGGACCATATCGAGATGCATTACACGTCCCGGTAACTTCGCTCTTTGTAACGCGGTAAACGCTGAAGTTGTACGTGTACGCGAAACAACGCTCGACGAGACGATCGCATGACCACGTTCGTATACAATAATGCGCGCGTGTGACATATTTCAGTGTTATCCGATTTGAATGAAGCAGAAATTTAATGAGGAGTTATAGTAGTGGTTATTATCGATCGCCGCGATAACGCTACGAATAATTAGAGACCCATTCTTGTTGATTTCGTCATAATTGGAAATACGCGCTGCCATTTGACGCGGAGTTATTCGAACCGGCGGTGCAAGTATACAAACGAAACATATACGTGTTTCTCTCTCTCTCGCACGTCTCGCACGTATGTGCGACCTATACAATCTAGCTTTCAGTTAATAAAAGTCAACGTCTAAACAAGATGTTACCTCGACGGGAACCCCGCATCGAGCCGACGATTAACGGCGTGCCTCGCACAAATTTTGGGGACAATTGCAATTTCGTCCGTGGACAATTTCGAAAACTAATATTTACCAGATCCTCGCGCGTCTTCCGCGGGGGCGTCTTCTTTTGCGGACGCGAGGTGTCTTCCGTCAGAATTAGAGAAGTCGCCCGCGGCAACGGCAGACGCCCGGTAACGAGGGGCTTTCCGTCGGAATTGGTTGTTTTAACAACTGCGCAGCACTTTGAGATTCGTGAACGAGAAAGGAGGTGGCGTGGGAGGAGGAGGAGATGGTAGCACGTCAGGAAGACAGAGAGAAAGAGAAGAAGAAGAGCTGAAGGCGGAAGGGCGAGGGTGGGAGGGTGCGGAGGCGGAAAATAGCGCGAAGGATCTGCCAAATAGGGGATGAGCGAGAAAATACGCGATGTTCGCGAGAGGACGCGCGCTTCTGAGGTACGAGCTGCGAGCGTAATAGTCCAATTTGCCAGCAAAGGAAAATACCGGAGGATCCTGGGAGTGAAAGGAGACTCGCGTTGCCGCCCCCGGGGATAGTGGCAACTGCGTTACTCGGAAAAGGCTGCTGGAAAATTGGAGACGCGCGGAAACACGAGGAAAGAACCGTAGAGGGAACCGAACCGCCGACCGACGCTTTTTCCGCGAGAAGCGCCCGCGGCTTTCCTTGGGACTGCTGGGCGTGTACGGTCCGGTGAGGCTACGTCGATTATCCGAAATTATACCTTAAAACGTACTTTAATCAGTTGTGATTATATTCAATAGGGAAAGCGTTATCTTCAGAGCAGCATATGCCATTCAAGTCTCGCACGTGAGTATAGTTCTGGGGCGCTCTGTGGGTACGTGGGTGAAAATTTCCACTTAGATTCCGCGGTGTCTAATATCCGATACCGTCCCTCGCAATCGACATGTGGTTCGTACGGATATATTGCGTTTCACGTCAAAACATTTTAGGAAATTGGCGGTACTGGACCACGCCCCGCCACTTTGAAACGCTAATCGGTAACGAGAAACTTTCTTTACTTGAAATCCGAGTACGTCTCCACGCCCGCTGTCAAATCTTAAATCGCACCCTCGGCAGGGTGCCCTGTGCTTTCTGCGCAAGATCAACTATGGAACACGCAAGATAAATGTCCCAGTCATTGGACCTTATAATATAATTGAAACATTAATAAATGTATTTGTATTTAATATTTCTGGAAAAAGATAGTATTTGTTAAAAAAACATTTTTTTATACTAATTTGTAATGTTTTTTTTCAATAATCATTTAATTATTGAGTTTATATTATTCAGTAATTAAGAAATTATTAATTTTTCAGTTCAATTACTGATACTTCCAGCATTATCTGGTATCTCATTAAATTTGTATTATTATTATTATTATTATATACATATATATATAAAATTAGTATTTATTATTTTGTTTCCTATTATTTTTCGATTACTGACAAACCAAAGTTTGTTATAAATGTCAGTGTGGTTAATAGATTCACTAACAGCTTACTAACAAATAGATAAAACTTTTGTCGAAATCATGCTTTCGTATTGGTGCAGTTATCGGGACATTTACCTTACCTAAATCGAAAATGTCTATCTTATCGCGACATATTACGAGGAGCGCGAACCTGAAATTCAATAGCAGTGCTGAATTCACCTGTGCCTATTTCTATTTCGAAAAAATTACCCGCGTTCAGTCTAACGAAGTCGTACTTTTAAAATGTCAATTGAGAAAAAGAGGCGCAATCTAAAGATATAATTTATGTTGAGACATCAATTATATCGTTTTTTGCAGGAAGAGACTCTTAGTGACAAGATTACAAATAATTATAGTTTTGAGAGAGAAATTTTCGTTTTGGCAAGGAATATTTCTTTCTAATAAGTGTAGATGCCCACGCACACAGAAACGATGCAATAACTTCCGGCAGTATCGGCAAAAATATCAGTGATGTTAGAGGATTTTAACGCTAACAGTATGAGTACATACCCATACAGACACCCGAGAATCTCTAACGACAACTAATCGCTTAACTGTACAATGTGACAACGGATATACATAGCCCGCGAGTGCAGGAGCTCATCCCCATTACATGGGTAGCTCATCCTCGGTAATCATTTTCAACCTGTCGTCTCTTGTTTCAAGCGACATCGCTTTGCGGGCCAAACGGGCTGCGCTTAATGGCTCGGAAAAATCGAAATCATCGCGCGCATGAATACGTAAGCAGTTTTTTTTCCGTCTCCCGGTGTGCATATGACGTCATCATATGGCGCGGTAATGGTTATCGCGCATCTGTGGAGAAGGACTCTCTTTGTCGAGAAATTACGCAAGCGACGATTGCCGGTATCGTTCATTGTTGCTGCTTTAATAATGATTCTTCCCGGGACTCGCCTGTCTGTGTTTTCATATTAAAATGCGCGTATAAGACTCATATTTCTCTCGTGATCCGGAAAGAGCAATAGTTCGCAGAAGAAATTTTGATCCTTTCCTTTTGAAATCTTTTAACGGCGTTGCGCTTAAAAAAGCTGGAAAATTATTATCTCGCATAATCAACTGCTGAAAAAAATTGATTGACGCGAGTTCGCAGTTTGTGTGACATTGTAGACAGAATACGTGACTCGAGGATATTGCTTTTATTATGCGGCGATGGAACAAGCACCGAATCAATTTTTCACGGCTCCCGCATCCGAAAAGCGTCATAAATTCGACGCGACGGCGCGAACACGTTTACGATTTTGGTAGTCATTCGCCACCTCGAGGAGAGAGAGAGAGAGGAGGGAGGGAGAGAGGAAGAGAGAGGAAGACTGACGAAATTTCATGCACGCCATGCAAAATGTAGACTGAAGGAGAGCTTCGTTATTGCGTTATAAAAGCGTTATATCGTCGCGTCTTTTTACCACTACCTCGTCGAATTCCGAGCGAGTTACGATTTTCCGCGGAAAACGCGCGCTCCGTCTCGATAAAATATGTGGAATCATGAGAGTCCTCATCTTAAACTCACGCGCGTTTCATCGGGTTTCTTTAGTAATAATTCACTCGAACGTCGAGTGAGAATTCAGGAGAAATTGAGATTAGTGCCGTTCGTTATATTTACTCTTTTTTTATAGCTGCTCCATTTGCAAGGGAAGAAAGGATGATTTTCCTTTCTTCGCGACGTCTAACAGGGAAGCTGATTTTATAAGCGGGAAAAAGTTGCCAGCACATATTTGTACCAATACTGCGGTGTCGAGTTTCACGCGCTAATTACTCGCGTCTCGTTTCCCTACCAACTAATCAACTAAAGTTATCAGAATGAATACGTATGTGTACGTGAATATCCATATAATATATAATTTCGTAAATCATTAAATATTCCAAGGGTGTTCCTCCCTCCAGTTGAACCGAGATATTTAAGCGCTCATTTAGATATTATGCAACCAAACTTTGGAATGACCTGCCCATACATATTCGAAATGCAAGAATAATGGATGAATTCAAATTCAATTTTTATGATTTTCTACTTCATTGCGCGATCTGAGTAAATTTAACCGACGGTTAAGTTCTATTTGAATTGGACATCATTCAAGTTCTATTTGAATTGGACATCATTTAAGTTCTATTTGAATTGGACATCTTTGAATTGGATACCTCTTTTTCCGGCGAACCAGAGAATCTCTGACAGTCAATTCACGTCAAATCATGTAAACTAATTGTACTCATGTAGGAATTTTCGCAAAATATGTATACTTTTTGAGCGCTTGAGGGGATTCCAGAAGCGCCTAATAAATTACGTTTCTTCTTCTTCTTCCGTTCATTATAACGCGATATATTCTACAAATATTATATCTTTACGAAAAACTCACCGGGACTCGTGTTCGAGAATGATCCTTTCGACTGCGAAAATCCTGAAACAAAAAGGAACGATATTAATTTAATGTGCCGCGTTAGCCCGTTACCGGGCCACATTTACAAGCACGTAGTCGTTAATTAAAAAGAATTCGTAAGTTCGTCGCTAGTCGCGGAGTTGTACTCGCTAGTAGAGTCTCGCTAAGAACTACGTTGCTCGGTAAACGCGTGGTAAACAAGAATCCCCGCGTTAATTGGGTGCGCTAAAGCACTCTCCTTCGTTTTACATCGCGCAAGAGTTCCCGCGTTTGGTCTCTAAAGAGTTACGGGACGCGCTTTTCCCGTTCGCCCAGACAGTTTCGCTCGAATATTCTAATCAGTCTTGATTCGTTACATATTTCCCAAAGATCATCAAGAGACGTACACTATCTTCCCCTCCGTCTACCCTCGAAACGATCCCTCTGAGGAGAAAGGGAACAGCGCGAGGAAGCCCCGTCTCGACAGGGAAATAAACACCGGGGTGTATTAAGACGCTTCGGGATTTAGCCATTTTCTAATAAAGTCATCTCGGCGCGCGCGGATGCTGGGGTGGCGGAAAACAGGGGTTGAAAAAGATTTGCCCGCCTTCTAGGAAAGTCGGGGCTCGTCGCCCGAGTGGCCACGAAGGCAGGAGGGACAGAACTCGCGTTTCGAGGGAAGGTCGCGGCGCGACGATGACGATGGCGGAACTGCACCCTCAAATGACTTTAACGAGCCGGCGTCTTAAAACCGGGGGTTGCCGGGCTTGACCCAACGCGTTCGGGCGTTTGTTTGATAAATTAACTGCAGGCGAAGAGCGCGGCGCAGGGGAGTGTGACTCGACACAGCGGTCCGATCTCGAGAGGATCGGCGCGCGTTCCTTCGAGGGGAAAATCGCTTCGAGTAGGGACATTAGCGAGCGGGCCTAACGATATTTATGCGAAAACGACTGTCGAACGCTTGTTAAAGCGCCTCGTCGCGACGCGCCCACGCTGAATTGGCCATAGGAAGGAATTGGCCATAGTTATGTAAGAACGATCCAACACATGGAGTACGTTGCGAAGAAACTGAACATAGAAATTTTGATATACGATTTAAAAATGTAGACAGAACTGAGATTCTTCGCAATCGTTCAAGAAGTCGGACGATTTCCTTCCCTTCTGAAGCGAATTCATTGACAAGCTTAACCTTTCCAAATGGATAAATAAGACTAGTTAGTAGAAAATTTAAAAAAATGTTTAATCAATTTTGGGTTTTTTTTGTTTTATATAGAAACCTATGGAAACTACCTATTGGTGACAAAAAATTCGACTCATAATTTTGTGAGTTAGATTACTGCGTAATTATGGCCAATTATCCGATAAAAGATTAACAAATGAATATTTCCGACCAAACACCAATGAATTTTCACAAACGAGAAACATTCGAAATATCAGATTCTTAATTTTCTGATCGATATCTGACGAAATGTCATTATGTGATCGGAAGTGTCCGATTGAATTTAGTCGGATATCTTAATTGCACATAAAAATTGATAAAAATTTAATCGGAAATATCCGTTTGATAAGTTTTTTTGGTTAATTTCTCTCAGTAGAGAAACGTAACTTCGGTTTTTTTGTATGCGCGCACACATTTCAACAATACGATCGGAGCAATCGAAACGAATAATCGTTCCTTCAATTTCATCGTTGGCGGCCGATCCCAACAATCTTCGTGCCGATGTTAACGTGACAATCACAACATCCCGACGTTTTTCGTTCTACTAGAGAGGGGTCATCGTTGTCACACGCGCGCTATGCGGAAACTACCTCGAGTAGAGGACGTCTCGTCGGAAATCGAGCTCGCATTCAGCGCGATATCGTGCGCGTATCGCGTGCACCGTTGGAACTGTTCACTTCGGAATCCGAACAGCGTGCGACGACCGCCCCGATCCGGCATTCTTTGGCATTTTCCCCATTCGCGTTTTTCCTTTCACGACCGTCGAACGTGGTGAAACTTAAACCTCAATCGCGCGCGCCTGGCTGGAAGGTTTCAGATTTTTTGAAAACCCCCGATTATAATGCGCTCTCTCTCGTGCTTTTTCGCTTTCTCTCTCTCTCTCTCTCTCTCTCTCTCTCTCATACCGGTCGACGTTGAGGAAGGAAGGTGGGAAGGAGGGTAAGACGGTGATGAGAGGGGAAACGGGCGGGCGAGCCCCGCATTGAGAAAAATCCGCTTCCTAGGCTCGTGTTACCCGGCGTATTTTGACAAGATCTTATTGTCGTCGCGCGGCTAAGCCCTATTGACCCTATTATGGCCCTATTAGTATTATACTAGGATTTGCGGTTACTCCTTCAAAGGCGTCCTCCACGGGTCTCTCTTACACGACCGAAGGCGTGCAGGCGGACAGACGGACGGACGAGTGGATGGACGGCTGTGGGACACGCCAGTCCATTCAACACGCTGCTCGAGCGTGTCTTCTCGATAGTCAGTTCTCGACATACGATTTCCATCGAAAGGACCTCGAGTCGGCCTCGAGGTCGTAAACGAGTTTCCCCGGGGTCTCGAGGAAGAGGTTAATACGTTACAACGAGCTCCCGTAATCACTTATACGAGTGTACTTCGACGTATACGTCGCTCGGCAGTATAATCAATGAAGAAAACACGTGAATGACGAGTGAAATTGTTATGCGTTTGCTGTCAAGAGAACGTTTCTCTCATGAGATATTTTTATTGGACGTTCGAGAATTTTTGAAACAAAAAGGTTGAAAATTGAAGAATGTTGCCAAAGGGTGTTGGAAGTCGGCAAATAGAGAGGGGAAAATTTAAGGAAAGGCATAAGGACTCGCTATATAAAAACATAATGACAAAGTAAGAATATGAAGAAAAAGTATAAGCAAGAAGTGCAAATGACAAAGAATCGATATATGAGCAATTTGAGCGCTATAAAGTACAAGTGGGAGAAGCGGAAAGGACACTTGATCGGCGAATCTAAAAAGAACGGAAAGTGTGCAGGAAAAAGTGTATACGTGTCAGGAGACAAAACCGGGAGGCCAATGCAAGAAAGAAAACTGTATAATAATCGACAAGGAAAAGAGAGCATCAACAGCGAACGAATAAGGGCAAGAGCATGATGTACGATAAAGGGATCGGGTATGATAGAACGAAAGATAGAGAGAAAGAGAGAGCAAGATATATATATATATATATATATATATATATATATATATATATATATATATATATATATATATATA